GGAAAATCGACCCATCATGGTTGTCTTTGACCGATCGTGCGGCGATTCGGGGCCCGCTTGGGCCGTCTGGGCTGCTTCTTGGGGCCCTCTTGGCCGCCCGTCTTGGGGCCCTCAGCCCATCAATCCCAGCTCCCCTCAGCCGGCCCAGGCTTGGGGTGAGCGCCTCGGTGCGGCCGCCCGGGGCTCTCGGCGTGGCCCCAGCTGCCTCGGGCCAGCGCCGACGCCCAGGGCTTGGCGTGCCCCCCCCCCCGCAGGAGCGACGGCACGGCCGCGGCCTGCGGCGGGAGCTGGGCGGGGCGCAGAACTCGGCGGCACGCGAGAGGGTGACCTCTCGCCGGAGTGAGCTTCTTGACGGGCAAGTCATCCACAACCGCCACCATAGGTGGGACGGGGGAGAAGGGAGGATGACGAGGTCCTCCTCCTCCTCCTCCTCCTCCTCCTCCTCCTCCTCCTCCTCCTCCTCCTCTTCTCCCCTCTCCTACCTATGGTAGTGGTGTTGGAACATGGGCCCATTATGTCCGGTGCGGGCACACCAGGGTCTCCAGGTGGCCGAACGCGGTGCGACAGCTCGGCGGCGAGCGAGGGGGGGAAGGGATAGGGAGAAGCCTCCTCAGAGCGCGGCGGGACTTCTCTGAAGCCCTCGCGCCTTCGGATAAGTTTTCCGTGTCCTTGGGGAAGGCGAGGAGGAGGAGGAGGAGGAGGAGGAGGGGGAGGAGGAGGAGGAGGAGAAGGAGGAGGAGGAGGAGGACCAGTGCAAACCCAAGAGTCATCAACGATGTTGGAATTAGCCCTCTCTCCAAGCTCCCTCTTCATAGGCCCCTACAACGGTTCATGTCGATTGAGGGAACTGCCTCGTTTGAAGACAACCGTTTGAAGACCCTGAAGCATGCCAAAACATGGTTCTCGGATTCCAACGCCACGGATCAACCTGACTGCTGCGTCTTGACGATCCCGAATCGTGCCAGAACGCCATTGTTGGGACTTCAACATCGCGAGCCGACATTATTGTTGCACCCGCATAATCCTGAATCCTTCCAAAACGCAGTTTCTGGTTCGTGAACCATCGAAGTCCATGAAACGATTGCAATTTTTTGAAACGAATGTGCGCGACAGGGCGAGAGCCACATTTTGAAAAGGAGACGCCCTCAATCAGTGAAGCTCTTGCAAATTTTGAAAACGAATTTGCGCGGCGCTAGGGCGATAGCCACATTTTGACAATCACCCGACGTCGAGCCGTGAAACTCCTGCAATTTTTGAAAACGAATGTGCGCGTCGCTAAGGCGAGAGCCACATTTTGAAAACCACCCGCCCTCAATCCGCGAAACTCCTGCAAGTTTCTAAACGAATGTGCGCGGCGCTAAGGCGAGAGCCACATTTTGAAAACCACCCGCCCTTACTCCGCGAAACTCTTGCAAAGTTAAGCGACGGCTGTGCGCGGCGCTCATGCGAGAGCCACATTTCGAAAACCACCCGCCCTCCATCCGTGAAGCTCTTGCAAATGTTGAAGACGAATGTGCGCGGTGCTAAGGCGAGAGCCACATTTTGAACATCCACCCGCCCTTACTCCGTGAAGCTCTTGCAAAGTTAAACAGCGGCTGTGCGCGGCGCTGATGCGAGAGCCACATTTTGAAAACCACCCGCCTTCCATCCGTGAAACTGTTGCCATTTTTTAAGCTTCAGAGTCATAAATGGTGAGGATGTCTCAGGCGGATCGCCTGGCCCGCCCTAAAAGCTGGCCTCGGGGTGCGACAGGGAGAAGTTATTGATATGGAGAAGGAATGGAGGAGGAGGAGGAGGAGGAGGAGGAGGAGGAGGAGGAGGAGGAGGAGGAGGAGGAGCAGAGTGCCGGGGGACTTCCGAGCCTTCTGAGGAGGCCGTCTCCTGCTCGCTTCCAGCCCCGGGGTTCGCCGCCGAACAGCAGCATCGTGCGCGCCTGGGGTTGGCCTCCCCGCGGCCCCCGGGAGCCGCGCCTGCTCAGGGACACTCCTGCCCAGGGCCACTCTTCGCGTGCAGCCGAAGGGGTCGACTAGGGTCAGGAGGGATAAAAACACAAGCACAATTTATCGTCGATTCCCCAGAAAATCTGGGAAAACATCGGACGTGGGGGGAAGACACAAACCTGGAAAATATGCGAAAATATGGTGAATCCTGTTATTTGTGTGTATTTATTTTGTGTCTCCCAGGGCCCCTTCAGAAATGAGAGCGATTCCAATAATTCATTTACCGCAGACAAATGGTTTTGTGTGTGTCGTCGGACCCCACGAACAGTACGTAGAGTGCTCCGTAGATTTCGTGGCATCCTTGGCATTTCTCGTAGGTTCGTGGCGATCTGCGAAAGTGCCGTCGAGTGCTCCCTAGATTTTGGAGCATCCTGGACATTTCTCGTAGATTTGGCGGAAAACCAATTTAGAGGCAAATCACTTCTTCCCCACATCCTGAGTAGGGTTCTTGTTTTCCCAGAACATCCTCTCCTTCTCCCTCCCGCCTCCCGCCTCCCACATCAATACCATTTCCACCCCTCCAGGGAGGCCCCGCCTGAGCGAGGAGGGTATCGGAAAACCATACTATTTACATGGTTTCGTGCCCTTCCCACCTCTCCAGGGAGTCCCCGCCTGAGCGAGGAGGGTATCGGAGAACCATACTATTTATATGGTTTCGTGCCCTTCCCACCTCTCCAGGGAGGCCCCGCCTCAGCGAGGAGGGTATCGGAAACCATACTATTTACATGGTTTCGTGCCCCTCCCACCCCTCCAGGGAGGCCCCGCCTGAGCGAGGAGGGTATCGGAATACCATACTATTTACATGGTTTCGTGCCCCTCCCACCCCTCCAGGGAGGCCCCGCCTGAGCGAGGAGGGTATCGGAATACCATACTATTTACATGGTTTCGTGCCCCTCCCACCCCTCCAGGGAGGCCCCGCCTGAGCGAGGAGGGTATCGGAATACCATACTATTTACATGGTTTCGTGCCCCTCCCACCCCTCCAGGGAGGCCCCGCCTGAGCGAGGAGGGTGTCGGAAACCCATACTATTTACATGGTTTCGTGTTCTTCCCACAAAACCATTTCGTGTCCCCCCTCCACTCCTCCAGAGAGGCCGCGCTTGAACGAGGAGGGTCGCGGAAAGCATTACTCTTTACCAGGTTTAGTAGCCCTCCCCCCTTCCAGCGGGGCCCCGTCAGAGCGAGTAGGGTATCAAGAACCCGTACTATTTACAAGGCTTCGTTTCCTGAGCACCTGTCCTCCTTCCTCCTTTCTTTCGTCTGCCCTTTCGTGCGTACTTACTCGTTCGATGAGCTTCTCCTTCGTGTTGATGTTGTCGTACCCCATGGGTCCCACGAAACCGTTGATATCTTTATGTGGGGAACTCCGTTAGCATAATGTAATCGATCCTCAGCTTGATCTTTTCGTAGACCTACGGATCATTCTATTTTTGGTTTCGTGGACTCAAGGAACATCTCAGCTTGGGAGTGGGGTGCATCAATTCTGTAGTCGATCCCTTGTACTCGAATGGAAGAGGGGGGTGGCGCGAGGGGTGTGGCCTTGTAAGAAGGCGGAGGGCTTGTTAGAAGGCTGGGGCCTCCTTGGGAAGCTCCGGAGGCTTCCAAAATGGCGTCTGAACAGCCGGGGCGTCTGCTGAGAAGGCCCGTGCCTTCTTGGAAGCTCCCCACACCCCCTCAGGATGCCGCCCTCTCGCGCAGGCCCCTAGCGCGCGGGGCCAGCTCTGTAGTCCTCCTCCTCCTCCTCCTCCTCCTCCTCCTCCCCCTCCTCCCTCCCTCCCTCCCTCCCCTCCTCCCCTCCCTCCCTCCCTCCCTCCTCCTCCCTCCTCCCTCCTCCCTCCCTTCCCTCCCTCCCTCCCTCCTCCTCCCTCCTCCCTCCTCCCTCCTCCCTCCTCCCTCCGTCCCTCCTCCCTCCTCCTCCCTCCTCCTCCTCCCTCCTCCCTCTCCCCCCTCCCTCCTCCTCCTCCTCCTCCTCCTCCTCCTCCTCCTCCTCCTCCTCCTCTCCTCCTCCTCCTCCTCCCCTCTCCTCCTGCCTCCCCTCGAGGAGGCCCCACCCCCCCCCTTCGTCGGCAGGCCGCGCCCCCGCCCCCCCCCCCCCGCCTCCCTCCCCGAGCTCCCCGCGCGCTCGCCAGGAACGGCTGTGGCCAGTGCGACCTCCCCTGCTCCTCGTCCTCCTCCTCCTCCTGCTCCTCCTCCTCCGCCTCCTCCTCCTCCTCTTCCTCCTACTCCTTCTCCCTCCTCCCTCCTCCCTCCTCCCTCCTCCCTCCTTCCCTCCTCCCTCTCCCTCCTCCCTCCTCCCCTCCTCCCTCCTCCTCCTCCCTCCCTCCTCCCTCCTCCTCTCCTCCTCCCCTCCTCCTCCTCCTCCTCCTCCTCCCTCCTCCTCCTCCTCCTCATCCTCCTCCTCCTCCTCCTCCTCCTCCTCCTCCTCCTCCCCCCCCTCTCCCTCCTCCCTCTCCCTCCTCCTCCTCCCTCCTCCGCCTCCTCCCCCCTCCCCCCTCCTTCCTCTCCCTCCTCCCTCCTCCCTCCTCCCCCTCCTCCTCCTCCTCCTTCTCCTCCTCCTCCTCCTCCTCCTCCTCCTCCTCCTCCTCCTCCTCCTCCTCCTCCTCCTCCTCCTCCTCCTCCCCTCGAGGAGGCCCTTCCCTTCGCCTCGTCAGCAGGCCGCCCTCCCCTCCCCGAGCTCCCCGCGCGCCCGCCAGGAACGGCTGTGGCCAGTGCGCCCTCCCCGTTTTGCGCGCGGGCCTGGCCTGCACGCAGGTCGCCGCTGGAGGGGACCACCTCGAAGGAGAAACAACGCCCTAAACATAGACTTTTGGCGCTCCTCGCGGATCTCTCGGATCCGCGCTGGTCCCCGCCGGCGGCGCCTCTGGCGCCGCCCCCTGGCGCGTTCCGCGCGCCAGGGAGGGGGACCCAGCGCAGACCCAATAAATCCGCGCGGAGCGCCAGAAGTTTATGTTTATGCCGTTTTTTCATCTTCTACCACACGGTCCTGCTGAGGAGCGACGGCATGGCCGTGGCCTGCGGCTCAAATGTCTCAGGCCGGTGCGACCTCCCGGCGCTGGCCGCGGGCCTGACCTACACGCAGGTTGCCGGCGGACAGCGCCACACCGTCTTGCTCAGGAGCGATGGCACGGCCGTGGCCTGCGGCGACAACGGGCACGGCCAGTGCGACCTCCCAGCGCTGGCCGCGGACCTGGCTTACACGCAAGTTGCCGCTGGACGGCGACACACTGTCCTGCTGAGGAGCGACGGCAAGGCGGTGGCGTGCGGCGATAATGCTGATGGTGGGTGCGACCTCCCTGAGGTGGTCGCTGGCCTCACCTACACGCAAGTTGCAGCAGGGTGGGGCCAGACGGTCCTGCTCAGGAGCGACGGCACGGCCGTGGCCTGCGGCGACAACGAGTACGGTAAGTGTGCCCTCCCCGTCCTGACTGCGGGCCTGACCTACGCGCAGGTTGCTGCTGGTCCAGGCCACTCCGCCCTGCTGAGGAGCGACGGCACGGCCGTGGCCTGCGGCTTGAACGTCGCTGGTCGGTGCGACCTCCCCGCGCTGGCCGCGGGCCTGACCTACACGCAGGTGGCCGCTGGGCGGCGCCACACCGTCTTGCTCAGGAGCGACGGCACGGCCGTGGCCTGCGGCGACAACGGCAGCGGCCAGTGCAGCCTCCCGGCGCTGACCGCGGGCCTGCTCTATGCAGCTCACCTCTTTCCAGCGTTAAGTCGGGCCTGTCCCTCAGCAGGAGGAATATCCGAAGACAGTCAAAACATAGTCTGGGGGCGATGTTTCGAGTATTTCTGATCACTGTTGAGAAATGTATGGGGTATCTTTTTAAGTTTTCGTCCAAAGTTCGCCTGCAGGGGGACATGCCCGACCTAATTCCAGCGCTGCTCCTGGAGGCGTCGCTCGACGGCGATTCGGTGCGGTTCCTGACCCTCGGTGGGGTGGAGCGCTGCAGAGCTCGGGCAGGACCCGCCGCTCGCCTCTCGGGCATCTACGACCAGCTCGTGGCCGACCATTGTCGGACGAGGCCAAGACGAGGATAAATCCGCTCCAGAGCGATCTGGAGCGCTATCAGAGCGTTCCGGAACGCTCTGAGAAGGCCGCGGCGACCGAGACATCTTCTGGAGCCGCCGGATCTCAGAGATCCCTGTCTCCTCGGGGCTCTAGAGACGAGGGTCACTGCAGGCGGGGGTCCGCCAGGGCGCCGGATCTTGCGGGATCCTGCAGAGCCAGGGGTGCAGTGACCCGGGCCCGGGTGCAGGATCCTGCAGGACCCTGCAAAGGCTGTCTGACCCGGGTTTGCACTGAACCGCGTCAGTAGGTCCCCGACTTTCTCCTCGCCCGATTTGATCCTCGCCCTGGCTGCGTCTTGCGTCGTGCGGGCAGGCTGGGGGCCGGCGTCTGGAGGGTCGACGCGGTCCTGCCGGGGGGCCGGCTTCTGAGCGGCGCCTCGGCGTGCGAGACTGTTGCGGATGCCTTCGGCCCTGCTCGCGCCTTGCAGGGAGACCCTCCGAGCGGACAGTCCCCCATCCTCAAGGGTCTACCTCCGCCGCGCAGACTCCCGCGACCAGCGGGGCCAAGCACCGCGCGGGGAGATCTCGGGGGGCTCGACTACACGCAAGGGGGACCCTTCGCCAGAGTGACCTTTGGTGCGGGCCGTCTGTGGTCCCCCGATCGCCGAACGCGATGACATGGCAGCGTCTTGCGCGCTTGTGTGTTTTGGTTCCCCCGCGGCCCTCACAAAGCCGCGCACCAAAGGTCACTCTCTGACCCAGGGCCACTCTTGCGTGTACGGTCGGACCGAGGTATGGATCGAGGTCGGTTCGGGGAGGGAGGGTACCCTGTTGCTCTTCGTGCTTATTGTCGGAGGCCTGGAAATGGGCACCAACACCAAGACAAGGGGGCTGCCTCCACAGGGGGGAGATGATCCTAGATTTCGATGTTGGTGCTAATATTTCGGTCACCTTGGAAGCCAGAATATTACCACCATCACCGAGATCGGGATCTTCTTCCCTCGGTGGAGGCACACTGCCGATATTGGTGTTGGTGTCAACCTTTAGGCCTGCGATATTGGATGCTCTTTTGCACCCCGGGGGAGGCGTCCTGGGATGTTCTGTGTGTGTTCTCTTGTGCATCCCAGTGGAGGGTAATTGCCCTCGAGTGCTGTTTAAGGTCTGGGGTGTTGCGGCCGGCAGAGGGCTCCATTTTCTTGAAGGGTGTGGTTTCTGGCCTGGGTCGAAGAAGAAACAACGCCATACATTTTTTTCAGGAGAGGAAAAACACACACAGACACAACTAATCCTCGATTCCCCGGAAAATATGGGAAGTGGGGGGGGGAAGACAGAAACACCGGAAATATGGGAAAATATGGGGGATATTTTTATTTGTGTGTATTTATTTGTGTGTCCTGGGGCCCCTTCATTTTTTTGCGCTCTGTGCGGCTTTCTTGAATCTGCGCGGGACCCCCCCGTCCTGGCGCGCGGAGCGCGCCAGGGGCGGCGCCGTAGGCGCCCCGCTGTGGGGGGGGGGGGGCTGGCGCAGATCCAAGAAATCAGCGCGGAGCGCCAGAGGTTCAGGCAGGCTTATGGTTTTTCTTCTTCTTCTGCGTCTGGCCTAGGTCCGACTGTACCCAGGGTCACTCGGGCCGAACGAAAGTGGGGGACAGGGAAATGGGGGGTTACGGAATGTGCTGCGTGCAGCTGGTTTCGGCCCCGCCGCCGGGCCCATGCCTCGATACATGGGCGCCTCCTGGCGCCGGGAGGCGCTGGAAAAATCAGCTACGTGAGCTGATTCTCTACCCTACCTTTTGCTATCCTCCCCCCTTTCGTCCCCCCCGAAATCTAGGAGAAGGGTCTGGGACGAAGGACCAGTGTTGTTTCTCACGCCTTTTTTGTTTTCCAGTCGTGGCACAACTCGCAGTACTGCTATCCCCCCCTTTCGTTCCCCCCAGGGTCACTCTTGCGCGTAGAGCCGGGGGGGGGGCGTCCACCAGATCGGGAGCCTTGAGACGGGGGTCAATGCAAACGGGGGTCAGCCAGGGCGCCAGATCCTGCAGGATCCTGCGAAGACCCCCTCTGGCTGACCTGGGTTAGCGAGCCGCTCGTGGCCGCGAGGCGGCCGCGCATATTGGCTGACCTGGGTTTGCGAAGATCTGCGTTGCAGTTTTTTTTCCTGCACTGGGTCTGCTGACCCGGGTCTGGATTGACCCGGGTCAGAAGATCCCCGACCAGAACCGCCTCGCCGAGCCTGGGCGGGCCGCCACCGGGCCCCCCCCGGAGATCGGGACGGGGTCTGGCCAGGCCAGGCGTGGCGTGCCTGTGTGCGCCCCGCGCCCCGCACGGGCCCGGCCAGGGTCGGTGAGGTGTGCAGTGGACGCCCTCCGACCTGGGGAAGGAGGAGGAGGAGGTGGAGGAGGAGGAGGAGGAGGAGGAGGAGGGGGAGGAGGGGGAGGGGAGGAGGAGGAGGAGGAGGAGGAGGAGGAGGAGGAGGAGGAGGAGGAGGAGGAGGAGGAGGAGGAGGAGGAGGAGGAGGAGGAGGAGGAGGAGGAGGAGGAGGAGGAGCAGTGTAAACCCAAGAGGCACCAACGATGCTGGAACAAACCCTCCCTCCAAGCTCCCTTGTCATAGGCCTCTACAATAGTTCATTTCCACTCAGGGAATTGCCTCGTTGGAAGACAACCGTTTGAAGGCCCTAAAGCATGCCAAAACATGGTTCTCAGGGTTCCAACGCCACGGAACAACTTGATTTTTGCGTCTTCACGATCATGAATCGCGCAGGGAAGCCATTCTTTGGATTTCAGCACCGCGAATCAACGTACTGTTGTACCCATAACATTTTGAATCCTTCCAGGACGCCACTTCTGGCACGCGGATCATGGGAACTCGTGAAACTTTTGCGAATAAAAAACGAATGTGCGCGGCGCTAAGGCGAGAACCATACTTTGAAAAGGAGCCGCCCTCAAAACTCTTGCAACATTTTGAAAACCAATGTGCGCGGCGCTAAGGCGAGAGCCACATGTTGAAAACCAGTCTCCATGAATCCGTGAAACTCTGGCAAACGTTGAAAACGTATGTACGCGGCGCTAATGCGAGAGCGACATTTTGAAAACGAGCCGCCCTCCATCTGTGAAACTGTTGTAAATTCTTCAGCTTCAGAGTCGTAAAGGGTGAGGAAGTCTCAGGCGAAACGCCTGGACCGCCCTAAAAACTGGCCTCGGGGTGCGACAGGGAGAAGTTATTCATAAGGAAAAGGAATGGAGGATGAGGAGGAGGAGGAGGAGGACGAGGACGAGGACGACCACGACGACGAGCACGACGATGACAACGACGACGACGACGACGACGAGCACGACGACGAAGATGACGACGACGACGACGACGGCGGCGACCTGCACGGCAGACGACATGCCCAGGGCGTGCGCGACGACGGTGGCCCCGCAGCCCGAGAGGCCCCCGGAGACTTCCGGACAGCCCCGCGAGTCACCCGTTTCTTGGAGTCCCTGGGTCGCACGCGGGGGCGCGAAGATGATCGCGCTCTGTGCGTCGCGGTCCGGGCCAGAGCGGTTGCGCTTCTCCAACGGGCCAGCGCGAGGGCGCGAAGATGATCGCGCATCGCGGGGCGCGATGCGCGATCTTATACGACCTAGTGGAGTCCGAGACGACGATGGCGGCGTCGGCGACGGCGGTGGAACCACGGTGGTGACGGCGGTCGGCTCCTGGATCCCTCCCATGGTCCATCTGGTAAGTTTCTCATCCCGTATCGACTTGACCCCAGGGCTGGTCACGGGCCCCACAGGAATGCAGAACACCCATTCTAACCTCACCGAGACGACGACGATGGCGGCGACGGCGACGGTGACTTTCGATGCAACTCCTGGGAATGTAAATTCAGTATCGGCGCTGGTATGTCCGTGATCGAAAAGCAGCACCTGCTTGACCTGGCTTGCTCCCGCTTCTCCCGTTTAATCCTAGGATCAATGCTGCCGAATCCGGCTAAGTGGCCTCCCAACTCGGGCTGACCAGCTCCTCGTTGTTCTCGAAGATCTCCCAGTTGTTCACCACCCACCAAAACACCCCAACCCAACCCGAGGGCCTCGATTCGCCCCTCCATTTCCAGTGTAAAGGGGGGGTTCGGGGAACACCGAAAAAGCACACATGGAGCCCATACCCCCCCAACCCGATATTCGGGTCTTCGGGTTGGGTTGGGGTGGTCTGGTATTAAGTCGGGCCTGTCCCCCTACAGGCGGATTTTCGTCGACGAAAAACATCCCCAAAATAATCGAAACATAGTCCAAAAATAGTCTGGGGACTATTTTTTGATTTTTTTTTGGCCTTTTGAGGGTATTTTTGTTGTTTTTTATTTTTCGTCGAACATCCCCCTGTAGGGGGACAGTCCCGACATGAGCCTGGCAGGTGGTCAGCTACTGCTTCCCAGGGCGACGACGTGGGCGTCGTCGACGACGACCACGGCGGCGGCGGCGAGCGGCCTCGCGGCGCAGGCCGAGATCGGCGGCCCCGCGGCGCCTCCGCGGCAGCCGCCGGCAGACGGAGGTCGCGCCGCACCCGCCTCCGCCGCCGCGGTCGTCCTCGTCCGCATGGTCGGTGGTGGCGATGATGACGACGATGATGATGACGATGACGATGATGACGATGATGATGACGATGACGATGATGACGATGATGATGACGCTGCTGATGCTGACGATGATGATGATGACGCTGCTGATGCGGACGATGTTGATGAGGAGGATGACGACGACGAGGATGAGGATGCTGATGCTCATGGTGACACGGGTGATGATGATGATGATGCTGATGGAATTGGCGATGAGGATGGTTGACGATCGACGATTTGGTGATGATGAGGATGATGAGACGATGATGAGACGATGATGATGCTGATGCTGATGCTGATGCTGATGCTGATGATGATGAAGCTGATGACGATGATGATGACGCTGCTGATGCTGACGATGTTGATGAGGATGATGATGACGACGATGATGATGATGCTGATACTCATGGTGATACTGATGATGATGCTGCTGATGGTGTTGGCGATTACGATTATCGATCGACGATCTGATGATGATGATGATGATGATGATGATGATGGTGATGATGATGCTGATACTGATGACGATGCTGATGCTGATGCTGATGCTGATGCTGATGATGATGGTGGTGGTGATGGTGATGGTGACAGTGAGGGGTTATGGTAGTGATGAGGACGGGGATGATGCTGATGATGATAATGCTGATGATGCTGATGATGATGACGATGCTGCTGCTGATGCTGATGCTGATGCTGCTGGTGATGATGATGCTGCTGCTGATGATGGTGATAATGCTGCTGCTGCTGATGATGATGCTTGTGTATCGATAATGCTGCTGAGGCTGATGCTGATGACGATGAAGAGGCTGATGATAATGAGGCTGAGCATGATGGTGATGATGCTGATGATGCTGATGATGATGCTTATCGATCGAACATGCTACTGATGCT